CCGGAGAGAGAGAGAGAGAGAGAGATGCGTGTGCGATAGAAGGATGAGTAATGTATGTGTCATACATTTGTACATACCCATGCACTATTAGCTTACTGTGCCTGCGATTGTCACACTGACACGCCTTCTGGTATATATGTTTTTAGTATGTTCGGGCGAGTGCGTATGCGTGTGTGTGCATTGGGGGGGAGGGGTTGTATTTACATACAAATACACGTCAGACCACATGCGCTGTATCTCACCATGTGCCTGTGCTGATTACGTTTAACGTTTATTCATCTCGGCATCTATGGCTAAACAATATCGCCTTATTTATACGAATACGCGCACGGAAAACGGGCGAACTACCATTGACAATGGGTCTAAACACATGCAGCAGGTTTAATGTTTCGTACCTCGACACAGAACCCTAAAACCCTAAAACTCTAAAACCCTAAACCCTAAAACAGCCATTCAGCACATGCATACAGCCGCACCTCATGGACATACGCACAGAAATGTAACCACGGCCAGAGACGCATATGTACGCATGGGCGGATAAGACGAGCGCAGCAACAACGGGACATGTCAAGAGATATACACTCCCAGGGAACACCACCACGTGTATGAATGGACAGGTCTTATGGTGCACATAGATAGTATCAGGTGATGACACCCTCGGCCTGTACAAAGGCGTATGTAAAATAAAGTACACACAAGTGAATGCGTATGGATCATAAACTACACACACGTGCACGCAGACATCTGCGGGTGCTCGCACATAGACCTACAAGAGACACCCCTGGCCCATGATGGAGTGAAAGTACTCGTCCACAAACGACACGCGCAGGAAGCGGTGTCTGTGTGCGCTGTATGCTCTGAAGATGCGGTTGGTGGCGTCGTGCTCGGCTGGGATGGGCACAGTCCGCAGAGGTGTGACCATGACCCGCTGCACCAGCTGCATCCCCTCGGCCTCGCCCGCGCCCCACCCATTCTCGTCGTTTAGGGCCGATTCTGTCCTTTTTTGCGCCGCGAGGGTAACGGACTTGTTGTCCTCCGAAGGGCCGGATCCGTTGAGAGGAGGCTGGGCCATGGCACCGTCTGCACCGTTTGTGACAGATACAGATGCACTTTGACCATCACTCTCAGGTACAGGTGCAGGTGCGAGTGTGGGTGTGTCGCTCTCGTCCTCGTTGTGCGTGTCTTCGGAGTACATCATCTCCTCGCGCAGTCTGGTTGGTTGGTTGGTTGATTGTTCGGTTAATTGGTTGGTTAATTGGTTAAGTGGTTAATTAGTTGGTTAGATAATTAGTTAGTTGGTCAATTAGTTAGTTGGTTAATTAGTAAGTGCACCGAGTACTGAGAATAGTATCGTGCATTCCATTGGCAGTAATGAATTAAGACATATGTGCATATATGAGTATATACACATGCATGTCTTACTACTACCAGTACTTCTCCTACGCATAGAATATGTGCACATGTGCATACATGAGTATATACACATACATGTCTTACTACTACCAGCACTTATCCTACGCATAGAATATGTGCACATGTCCACACACGAGTATACACCTACACATACACCTCGTACTACCCCACCTATCCCTACCTGTTTATCAGATACTGGACGTTGCAGACGGGCGGGACTCCTACCCACGGAGCCATCTGGAACAACAGCATGAGCTCATCTACTGCAACGTACTCGTTGACACTCTGTAGCATCTGCGTCAGTTCAATGGTCTGCGCTGCGGTGGCTATGCGTAGCCTGAGAGCAGTTGCAGTGGAGTGTGAGGGTGGTGTAGTGAGAGAGAGGTGTGTGTATGTATGTGCATGTGCTTGTAATAGAGCACGAGGGTGCTATCGTGTGAATGATGTGTGTGTATGTATATGCATGTAATATAATAGAGCATGAGGGTGCTATCGTGTGAGAGAGGTGTGCGTATGCATATGCGTGTACAGTGTGAGAGATGAGTTGCATGCACTTGTAACAGAGCATGTGAGTGGTAGTGAGAGGGATGTGTTTGACATCGGATGTGTGTCAGTTGTGATACAAATCACTGCCAAATCACTGCTACTGTGAACGTAGTGGTGTGTGCACATGCAATGGCGCACACATGTAAATGAGATGGAAAGGTGTGACTCAGAGGATCTCCATGCATGTACATTGCTGCCAACTGACTATCATACCTACATAGCTACCAACTGACTAGCATACATACATAGCTACCTGGCTAGCATACCTACATTGCTACCAATTGATTAGCATAGCTACATAGCTACCCTCTGACTAGCATACCTACATTGCTACCCACTGGCTGGCATACCTGTCTCTGTGTATGCAGCAATGCAGCAGATATCGCAGAGAATACGACAATGTCGCAAACTCTGCATCAAATCCCCCACTCCACCCCATCGTATTCGCCTTGATACCTCCGGTCACCTCATTTGCGACATCATTTGCGACATTTGAATCGTCCTTTAGATTCATCTTCATGGTGGCCATCAGCAGCCCCATCAGATGATCTGGGAAAGCTGTATCCGTTTCCGTTTCCGTTTTTGTTTCCGTTGGGTTGTGTGACGTGTCCTTGATCTCAGTCGCCGCACAGTTAACGCCTTCGTGTGAGCGTAGCATGTCGATCTCACACTCAGATGAACGCGTTGAGATGCGATAGTTCTGTGTGTGTAGGCTATGCGTGTGAGTGTGTTTGCAGGCGTGTGTGGTGTGTTGTACGCTTACGTATAGGCGTAAGTAGAGCTATTGAATTTGTTGAGATGCAATAGTTCTGTGTGTAGGCTATGCGTGTGAGTGTGTTTGCAGGCGTGTGTGGTGTGTTGTACGCTTACGTATAGGCGTAAGTAGAGCTATTGAACGTGTTGAGATGCGATAGTTCTGTGTGTGTGTGTTGTGTGTAAGAGTGTGTTTGCAGGCGTGTGTGGTGTGTTGTACGCTTACGTGTAGGCGTAAGTAGAGCTATTGAACGAGCACTTGGGATTGTAGTAGCTACTGCAACGTAACCATTTGGTCCCCGCAACGAGTGGGATGAAACTCAACGCGCAATGCCGATGGGCAATCACGTAGATACCCACATATGTATTGTTATGCATGCTCACATGAACACACGTATGTACACACAGACACGTGCACACACATATGTACACATATATGTACAGACGAACATATATACACACATGTGTTACAAAAACACATGCACACACAAAGGTACACAAAGACATATGTATACACATACCTACACAAAACCACATGTACACAAATATGTGCGTACACACAAATGTACAGTCATTTGTGCAATCATTTGCGGAGAGAGACATACATTCAAGGTAGTCAACAACTCCCTGCGCACTTGTCGAGCAGATCCAACCATTACAAGACGAAAGACGTAGTTGTGCTCTAGAATGCCCTGACCAAAGGGGTCGGTAGTCCTGCCCCATTTGATGCCCCCTTCACCCTGTTGTGACCACTCCATTTCTGTGTGGCAAATTTACGTATATACATATATACATATACATATAT